CATGAAACTCTTCATACTTCCAGCCATCTGAACATAAATTTGTTCATAGCAAACTTATTCAAAAATAAACTTGACATATTTCACTTGACTTTCAGTAGCATGTACAGTAATATGCATTTATTGGGAAAAGGAGAGTGCTGATGCAATCAAATCCATTTTCTTTTATGGTGTTCATGATAAGCGAACTGTTCTATATTTTCAAACACAGCTTTAGAAATAACCAATATCTAAATACTCCACTAAACACTTTATAGATAAACCACAAAGATCCAGTTTTCTTAAGATCTTTTACAGGAACTACCCTCACCTGGTTTACCCTTTCCTGGGGGTGCTACCATACGCTGCCACTTTTGGAATAATGTGGTTTTGAGACAGTCCCTGGGATTCAAACCATACGCCTTATGACGAGACATCAACTCCTGCATGGGTTCCAGAATCACACATAACTGAAAAATCACAAAAATGATGTAATAGTAAGTCCAAATTATGAAATCCAAGAATGGCTTTTTGTTTTGAAACATGTTTCTGAAATACTTAAGCATATTTTCCTGACTTTCTACGACATGAAATACATACACATACATGTATCTTTCTTATTTCATTCGGCAAACCTCGGCTGATTCCGTCACCTTCATCAAACCTCGGCTGTACGAGGAAACTTGATATGTGTCTCCGCTTAACATTTGTGATAAGGCTGCCTGTTTACCACTTAGGGAAAACGTAACACTTTGAAAACGATTATAAACATGCATCTGACATACGATAAAAATTTTCAAAAGCATTTAGGTAACACTTAGAATAGCACTTACCAAGAAACATGCACCTAGTATCTTTACATAATCTCATGTTTGTTTACGGATCGAATTCAGCACACTGTGCACGTGTAATTATAGGGCGCAGCCATATTGCGTATAAAGTAGCTCCAGTTCAATGGAGGTTTACATGATACAGCCGAGGTTAGTTGAGGTACGAATCGGTCGAGGTGTGCCGAGTGTTTCTTATTTCTGACCATGATAATTCATTACTATTTACCAAGTCTCTATTCTCCTGACAGGTACTGTTGTTTAAAATTTTAAAAAAAATATTTTGAGCCAGGATTGAACTGATCCAGAATGATATATATATATAAACTCCTTTAACAATAATTATTCTAGCTTCCTTTAAAACCCATCAAACATAGATCAACTGGTAACAGTCAATATCTCATTTTTAATCCAGTTCTCTTTGATCATCAAATTATGAATAGAATTTAACAATCAACAGTTAAAGTCAATTTACTTATGAATAGAAGTGAAATACAGAAAATCAGAGTAATACATCTGAACACATACATGCTTGTATTTACAGTATTTTTAGAAGTAAAATCTGAATGACTTCTGACACTTACCCTAAGAAAGTTCAGTGTGTAGTTAGTCAGCCCCTGCCTTGTGATATTCTTGGAGATCTGTTCAACCATTGCAGGGTCCTGCTGTTAAAGCATAATTAGAAATTCTTAACGTACACTGCCAATGTACAAGTCCTTGTATCATTTTCAAAGACAAGGCCCACTAGCCTAGCTTAATCACTAGTTTCCAAGTCACCTTTTAATCATAAGCATATCATAATTTCACAAGGTACTCTGTTAAAATTTTATGGCTCTTATTTTTTTTTTTTTTTTTTGACAGAAACAATATTTTAAGGTTACTCTGTTACTAATTAATAAGCTCAAGAAAAATGTCATACTTTTAATGACCCTGAACTCCTCCTAATGGCTTTGATCATACTTGTCATGTCTGTAGGTCCTGAACTTACCTGACAGTTTACAAGGAGAAGGCAGCAGGGTAATACCAGGGATCATGAACTTCACAATTTTAGTGGAGGTTTAAAGTTCATTACTCACGTTAAAATCAAGCAAATAGTTTGCCTTGAAAGTTTTCATCATTTATACACATTGAACCAAAATGGGTTGGTATTGGCCCAGCCAGAAACTGAGTGATACGGGTGATAGCGTGATCTTTAAATTTGATTACTCGTCATTACTCATAAGTATCGAAATCCAAGACTTTGCTCAAACCAGTGGGAGATTCACTACTTCAGGTGTTCATATCGTTATTTTTCTGAGATATTTACCTGCATGGCTATAACACTTCTAGGTATTAACTCTCGGTGCTGACGAACTTGGAAGTGCCAAGATCTTATTCTCATCAGATCATCAAATGTAAACTCCAATATAAGTCTGCCTTCTGTAACAACCTGTAGATAAAGAAACAACTAGAAATCTGACCAGTCAGCAAGGGCCCCGCAGAGGGTTAGAAATATAAGGGTGCAGATTAGGGGATGAGAATTTTACTTGATTCCAAAAAATTTCAAAATATATAAAGAATAAGCAACAGCAACTGCTAAATATCCAACAATCTGTAAATAGTATCCTTGTATTTACATAAGGCAGTAAAAAACATCACATCTATAATAACTCAATTAAATGTATATTTAAAAATGAATGAAGCATGTGTTTTCTAAAATACCAGCCTTCAGTGAATGCAAATATCACACAGGCTTGACCTTAACTTCAAAACAAATATCAGTTGCAGACAAAGGTGTTAATTAATCTTAAAGTGACAGAAAGATAACCCTCTAAAATATTCTGCAAACCAGCAAGATAATCAAACCCACGGGATTAAATATACCTCAACCTTTTCTTTTAAGTTTACAATAAGAACTTTTTCAGCAATGATAGAATGAGGTTATTATCTAAATACCTGTTAAAATAATTAGTATTCTTGAATTTACATAAGGTAGAAAAAAAGAAAGAAAAAAGAAAATAATAATAAAAATGACATCTTTATCTATATATCTTGTTTTTAGAATTCAAAAAAATCATAACTCATTGTGTATTTTACCAAAATAAAGTATGAACATTATTTAAATCCACATTTCAGAGAATGTAATTAAAACATCATTCAGAATTGACCTTAACTTCAAAACAAACTTCATTTGCAGACAGAGGTGTTAATTAATCTCAATGTGGCAGATAAAGATAAATGCTTTGGATTTTCTTCAAGAGGAAAGTTAATAAATCCCAAGAGACTCATTGCAGCCTTTCATAGTTTACAATAGTTACATTCTCAGCAGTTATCTCTCTTTGCCCATTCACTCTTATATAAAGTTAAGGAATATTCCCCACCACCCCAGCTCCAAACTGGATGACATAGAGAACCAAAATTAGCATCAAAATATGTCTTACTGCCTATTCAACCAACATACCAAATTTGAACTTAATTGGTCAACCCTAAAAAAAAGTTATTAGAAAAAAACAGAAAATTTGTGGACGGAAGAATGACAGACAGAAAGACAGACAGACAGCTAGAAAGACAGACAGACAGACAGACAGACAGAGTGATTACTATAGGGCACCCGCAAATCCCTGCAGGGCCCTAATTAAATGTTAAGCCTAGTGTAAGTCTGTCTTCTGTAACAACCTGTAGGAATAAGTCAACCTTTTGCAACATTTGAACAAAATCAAACAATTTCATTTTCAGAATTTAACAAAAATGTCCTAAATAAAATTCCCTTCTATCTAGGACATATTTCTTTTTGAATTGCTCAATGTAACAGCATTGACTTCCTGCAATTTTAATATAATTCTGAGACAATACCAATGAAGATAACAATGTATTGCCTCCAAAAAGGTAGGTTAATACTGAAACCTATAAACACATGCTGACACAAAATATTTCTTCTTTCTTTAGTTCGTACCTTTGTGAACATTGGTTTTCCGTGGTGGGTGATCATGGTAGCTTGGTCACAGTCCAGGGTGATGGACGTGTTGTGAAATGATTCCTTGGAGTGTTTCAATATGTAGTAGAGATCAGTTACTCCTCCCTCAAATATACTCCGAAAGTACCGAGGTACCAGGGTACGACCGATGGCTGAAATACATTTTTCACAATTAGTCAATGATAGTAAGCCCATCATTTACATTTAATTAATTAGCTTGATATAGACATATACTGCATACATATACATATACATATACTGCAATTCTCCAGTCCTGTAATAATAAATTACAAAATAAGGAACAAACTTCCATACATTCATTTTGTCTTTATTAAATCAGTCCATTTATTACTTATTAGGCCCTGCACGTAATTTTCAAGCATCTGCTTGACTTCAGCCAGAACAAACTTGTATACTGATTGAATGGCTTTGTGTTTTTTAATACTAAAATGTATACAAATTAATGTACAAGATCTGTAAAGGAATACTCTCAAAAGTTTGTTTTGAATTAGCACTGTTTACTCAATGTTGTTCATTTTTGGTAAGAATATTAGCAAAATTTATTACTGTAGTGCAACCAATAACTCTCTTTGAAAACTTCCTATAAATTTCTTTAACTGTAAACATGATATGGTAAGTGCTTTAAATTTACAAATGCAAAATATGTTCAAGTAAAAAGCATAAAATGCATTTCTTTTCTACATGTTGACTTGGTTTTATATAAATATCAATTTTCCAATCCCGCATGACAAGCGGAATTAAAAAAGCCGCTGAAATGAGGGCCAATCCCTGAGATTTTGTACTCACTGTAACGTTTTGGTCCATCTTCTAGATAGAAGGACAGGGTCAGGCTAGCATCGTCCTCAAAGAACTCTGTAGCAAAAGCATCCCACCATAAATTGTCACTCTCCTACACAGGAAGTAAAGAATTCTGATCAATGTAATCATCACAATTCACAAGTCTACTTATCAGTTAATAAACACATCAGTAATATAGGGGTCTAGTAATATACATCATTAATAAATGTATCTAAAAATAAATATATCTATTCAGTTAAAGATGTATCTAAAACAAAATCAGCAATAAATGTATTTAAAATATTAAAATAAACATATTATTCATAAATAAATCAGAAAATATTTGAAATAGATAACCAGTATTTCAGTACTTAAGATTTTTCATTTAATCTTGTACAATACTTATGTACATTCTGACACTTGCATCCAACACTCAAGCAGTACATATATTTACATACACACTGCCTGGACTTTGAACAGGAAATTTAATTTTTTTTTTACTTGTGCCTTTATCAGCTTTTCATATCAATATAAAGCTACACATACCTCACTGCGTTGCTGTAGTCGTTTGTTCAACTCATGAATTCTGTAGTCAGGCTGTCCCATATATGGTGTATGCCTCCTATAAAGAGCCGATATTAAGTTAGAATACACAGAATCCATGACTATGTGATCCTAAGCCTTAACACAACCCCCTCTCTATCAGAATGCAGCAATGCCAAGGTGGTGTAATTTGAAACTAATCGCCTGATTACCATCTCTTTTAAATTTGAAACAATGTGCTTCAAAGGCCCCGTGATAAGAGTAATTACTTTCAATTTGTTTTCAGCAGAAAATTTGATTAGAAGCCTACAACTGGGTGAGTGTGTTACTTATATATATATACTTATAGATTCCTCGTCTAACTGGTCCAGACAATGATCTAATTATACTGCATTTTACACTTAAAAACAAAGCTAATGACTCAGTCTAAGATTAAATTTCAGGCATGTAAGAAGTGCTGACATTTCTGATGGTCTTATATGTACATCTGTTAAATAATTCTGATAAAATATGGATGGAATATCTCTCAGTTGTGTGGAGGTATGTATAAACTTGTAAGCATTATTCTGATTTATATAACTTTTTATGCATTTAAAAGCAATCAGCATGAATCTGACCAGATTTGAGTATATTCAAAATATCTTTCCACAAATGCTCCATGTGGATTATTTATCAAGTTTATTGATATATTTTCATCCAGGATTAAAAGAATAATTAAGTTTCTGAGGTTTTCTTTTATTAATTTTCTAACCAGAGGCATTCAAGCAATTTAAGTTGTCAGCATTGCAGCATTTTTGTTTTTACACTCATTTTATGTTATAAAATACTTCATTCATTAAAAAATAAAATAACTACACAGTGCTCCAAGTCACACTTACTATCGGATCACTAAATGGTGACCTAAAATTATTATTGGTTGCAAAAGTTCTGGTCACCATCAACAAATATTTTTTGACAAAAACTTTTTTAGATAATACAAGTATATTAAAAATCAAGGCATAAACACATATATTTTGACTTTATATTTATTACTGTGACTAAATATTTTGCCAGGAGGTTGAGAAAACAACAATATATTGGTACTACATGTAGTACATACAATAGATTGAAGTATGTTATGTACATGTAAAAACTTACTCAAACCTCCTGTGAATGCATGCAGTAAACAGGACAATATAATAGATGATTGATTCTATGTTGTTTAATGTCCCATTCAAGAATTTTTCACTCATATAGAGACATGGTCACATCACCTGCTTTAGATCTGATCACTGCATCAAAATTACAAGATGTGTTTGTGAAACACTGATGCCCCCATATGGCAACTTATAGCAAAGGTTAAACTTTCTCAAATGCAAATCAATTATGTTGATACCCAAAGTAAGGTCTTGTCTCTAGGAATATACCTGTGAAATATGAAAGCCCTAGCAGCAACCACTGAATATATATGGAAAGGTTAATTTTTTTCCAAAAGTATGTCAAACATCAAGGTCAAGGTCAAATGGTCAAAATTAATGGTGCCCAAGGAATGGCCTTCTCCCAAGAAATACACAGATGAAATGTGAAAGCCGAAGCACCAATCGTTCAAAATTTATGACCAAGATTCAAGTTTTTCAAAAGTAGGTCAAACTCCAAGGTCAGGGTCAATGGATTACAACTGTTTGAATCCAAACGAAGGTCTTGTCACAAGGAATAGACATATTAAATATGAAAGCCCTAGCACCACCTGTTTATAAGTTCTGTCCAAGGTCAAAGTTTTCTAAAAGTAGGTCAAACTCCAAGGTCAAGGTCAAAGGGTCAAAGTTGTTGGTATCCAAGAGAAGGACTTGTTACAAAGATTACATATGTGAAGTATGAAAGCCCTAGCACCAAGGCCAAAAAAAATTAATCAATAGTTTCTCAAGCACCGCCGCATCAGGTCAAAAACTGCTGCATTGTTCAATTTTATTGACATTTTGAAAAGGGGAATAACTCAATTTTCTACTTTTCCAAATTAAATTAGAAAATTGAGTTATTCCCCTTTTCATAAATGCTAATAGATGGGTGTTTTTATTAGATAAATGATATATTACTTGTTGATAGGGTATTTTTTTAATTAACTTATTGTTCAAAAGTTATGGCCAAGGTTCAAGTTTTCTTTGAGAAGATTTGGGCGAGCAATAGTCTTTCTTTATTACTGGGATTGAGATTTACTTTTTCTAGGTCCCAAAAATGTGAATATGCAATAATTTGTAGTCACCAAATAAGTCAATAATTTATCAGAGCTCTGCTCTGTCTGTCAGTCTGTCAATTTGTCCCTTCATTTGTCCATCCTCTCATCTGTCCATCCAATATCACTTGTCCAGAAAGTATTTTTCTCTCCCCTTGGCCTTATGTTGCTTATACTTCATCCATATATTGCCTGTGGGTAGAGGGTGTGCAGTGACCTTAAACCAGTTTTCTTGATGAAAGGTCAGGTCAAAAGCACCTCTATGTAAAACATTTATCCAGTGATTTTTTTCTCTCCCCTTGCCCCTAGGCCTTATCAAACTTCACCCATATATTTTCTGGAGTATAGGATGTGCAGTGACCTGGATCAAGGTCAAGGCCATAGCAGATCTTTGTAAAAAGAGAATATTTTCTTCGCCTTCGACCATATATCTAGCCCATACTTCACCCATACTTTGCTTGTGGGTTAAGAGTTTGCAGTGACCTTGAACAAAGTTTCTAGGTCAGAGGTCAGCATCAAAGCAGATTTCTGTGTGAAATCCTTATCCAGAGCTTATTTTCTCTTCCCTGGGCCCTATCTGGCTCATACTCTCCCTAGAGTGCTGGTTAATGGTGTGAAGTAACTGAATGAAGTTTCTAAGTCAGACGTCAAAGTCTTAGCATATATCTGTGTGAAATCCTTATCATGAGTATATTTCCTCTCCCACTGACCCAATTGCCTTATGCCTCATCCAAAGAATGTCCATGGGAAAAAATGTAATCAAAGGTCTAGGTCAAAGTCCAAACACAGTCCTTTACAAGTACTTTTCAACCTAATGTCCTTTGCTTAATTGAGGTCCTCACCACCTCAATGATATCTAGTTATTCACTTTCATTAAAAATAGAAATTCAAAGATATTTTCTAAAAAAATTGTAAAACTATATAGACCCCCTTTGTGACCCCAATTATGTCCAATGGACACTGATTTCAACAAGCTTATATGTCTTGTATACAGTATATGAAAATGTTTGCAAATAAGTTTGGTTTGAACAACTTGATTACTTGAATCTACACTACATCAGTACATGAACATGCTTGCTTTGTGATTCTTGAGATTTTCAGATTTTTAGACTTTTTCTATACATTTTGTTTGTGAGAATTTGGACTCTCTTTGTCACCTTTGCCATATCCATGATGTGAACAAACCTGAATCAACCCTACATAAGCATGCCTCAATAATCTAATACTGAGAATTAAATCTTTTCTTTTTTACTAATACAATTTATACATTTCATCACCTTATCCTCACATTGAAAGTCAAACACCAGAGTGAGAGAATAAATTACATCTGACCATGCTGACAGTAGCTAGCTTCTAGTTTTAGGTTATGGGAAGATTGCAAGTCAATTATACTAAGCACTTTATTTGCCCTAATACCTCCCCCCCCCCCCCCCCCCCCCCCAGCCTCAATTTGTTGAAACACTTTAAAGTGCTGGGTAGTTCCAAAATCATCGATATGTCTTTGTTTTATTCTATCAAAAATAAAATTTTTCTACAACATGAACAAGTTAGTAAAAGATTTTATTGTTTTGATGTTATTGTTAAGAGAATTCTTTAGTCATGGGAAAGACCCTCATAATTCTCCGACTTAAAAATAACACAGAAAGGCACTGATCAAGACATGGGTGCTTTTGAAATGAACAGATATAAATGAAATGCAAATAATGACCAGTAAATCCTGATACTTACATTCCTCCATGTTCCCTGTCCACCATGGGACTAGTCATAGGCTGTCCGGTGGGCATCCTTGGCCCCAGGTATGCCCCGCCCCTGTCCAGAGTGGCGAAACCTCAACTAACACAATAGCACAGCCCAATTCTCAGCTCCTACTCCAATGTCACAATCACTAGCTTTGTCTACTGGAGGACTTTCACATTAATGTCAGTTAGTGTGTAAAAGAAAGCATGGCCTGTTTTAAAGGAAAATGAAAGTATCGTTTAATCAAAAACAGGTCTCAAAGCCTTTGAGTAAAAGCACTATAAAGGCATGATAGACAAAATGCAACTTTAGTCAATGCAAATTTACATCAACCAATGTCACTCATGTTTACAAAAATGCATAAATGTGCATCGATTTACACATAAATTTTGAAAAAAACATAAAAAAAATGCCCCTGAAAAATACCTCTGCATCAAAATGAACTTTCCAAAAATACTTAAGGTATCCGACCCACATTAGCCTCGGATTCAGTGAATCTGAATGTATAACAGATATATATTGGCTGAATACTCAGTACATGTAGACATAATCTTCATGTTTTAGTATCAATATGTGCAATCATCAATGCAATCTTCATTAATTAATTACTGCTTAGGTAATTATACTTTTGAAAATTTCTCTTGGTAAATCCTTTACTACTCTAAAATGCTTTGAATTAATTTCAAAGTATTTAATACAGGATGGATATTTAAGGTTAGAAAATAAGGTCCTAATATGGGTCGGATACCTTAAGGTCAGACGATACGTTCCTCAAATGACTGTTTTGTTTACCTTCGAATTATGTGGAAAATATTCAAAATTTTAATTACCTTTTGATTTCTAAACTGGTTTCTAATTGTCTTTAAAAAATTGAAACACCAAAAAATGTGTTATTGGCTAATTAAGTTTTTTCCAAAAGGATTTTATAGGAAAAACATCCTCTGGTATCTTGCACAAATGCCTGGTAAGGTACCTCAATTTTTTGCGAGTAAACATGTTAAAGTAGCAATACCTCAATGAAAAAGTCTTAGAAAAAATTATATATTATTGAGGAACGTATCGTCTTTCCTTAACACAAACTATGAAAATTTTAGCACAATCTAAAACCCAAAGTCCAAATTAATAATATTCCATGTCAGAATATTTACTTAAGTTTGACCTTAATTGCCACAAAGGTTGAAGATGGTAATAAAAAGGTCAGTGAAGCACAAGTTTTGAAAAAGGTTCAAACAAAACTTTCAGAGGTCAGTTCTGGAGGGATTTCATGTCCTTCAATAAACATTAGATGGTGGAATCTATATGATATGTGTAAATAACACCACAAACATAATTCCTTTTATTTTCAATTTTTAAGCATCAAATAAGTTAATGTAAACAGGTCCAGTACAATAAGTACATTTAGCTACGTAGCTAGAATTACCTACCATAGCTTTATTTAGCTACCTCAGGTAGCTTTATTAAGCTATTTCTAGGCAACTTTTCACAATTTTGCTTTTTATTTTAAAAAGACAAAGAGTCGCAAGTAAATGTCTACTAATATTTATTCTAGGGGTTATTTAACCCTTTCAACACTGTAGACCGATACAACAGTCTGATAAAATTTCGTCTTGGAACACGGTAGACCGATTCATCGGTCTCAGACACAAAACTGAAAGTAAACGTTTATTCTTAGAAATAGAAAGTATTCTCTGCACAAGAACTTTTGCTATGAATTATGGGTATATGGATATAAACATCCGTTAATAAATATGGCGGACCACATGGCAAAAATCACAGAAAAATAAGGAAAATTAGATGAATCTCAAAGAAAATGACGAAGAAAGCAAAATGGCGGTTAACAACAAAATGTCCGATCTTTCTGACGATGAAAACTTTAATAAAATCAGGGAATTAGACATTAAAGACGTCTCTAGACAACAAAAATACGAGTTTTTCACAATGTTGAGAAATCTAGTCAGAGAAACGACTCGGAATCAGACTTTGAAGGCTCCAAAACAAAGCATGCTTTCGACGCTCCAGACTTCTCCTGATGTCTCGAAACACCACGTTTTATTTATTTATTATTATGGACTTATTTTTCAATAAATTCTGACATATTGCATATCATTTTACTCAGAAATAATTTCTCTTTTGAACGTTGTAAAGAACATAATTGATTTTGAAACTTCATAGCAGCAAATTTATTAAAATATTACACAAGATCAGTTATAAAACATAATTATGATTTTTATTAGTGCTTTTGACATGCTAAATGATTTTGAATATAAAAAATTTGATATCATTTAAAAGAGAAATGTCTCACCTTTCTAATAATGTCTCATTTATTAAAATGTTCAAAGAAATAAAGAAGTTATTGTATTTTTTGTAATGGAAGGTGAAATGTTCAGTGATGGCCCAAGTTACTCAGTGTACCAGGGCTTGTTTGATAAAAGTTACTCAGGGTTGAAAGAGTTAAAAAGCTATTCAAAGCAGAGATAAAGAACAAGGTTCATTTGATATAATATTTGGCCCTAAGAATTTTTAAAAATTAAAGTTTACGCTGAATTAAAACTTTACATTGAAAATAAAGGTTGTATATGTGCTTGTTAAAAAAATAAACCCAAACTTTGAGAACATGTCCCCTGTATACTGTTTATTCGTGGTCAAATCATGCACGGAATGCGTATTTCCGGAAAATTCGTTAAAAATCAGGGACTTAAAAGCATTTTTCGATAGGTCCGCATTATACCACCACTTTGAAATTTTCTCAAATGAAACATCGATTTGAAAGTATTTTATAGGCAAAGAATTACGATGGTGATATTGTGCGGACCATGTTTATTTTTAAAAAATGTGTTCATTTACAGCATGCAATACACGTGCATTCGACGGTGTTTTGCTAGATCTAAGAATATACCTCGCCACGTATCGCTAAAAATCCTTTAATATAAAGGATGAAATCATTATATCAATGTTATGAAGATCTGGTCTGTATTAATTCTTTACACGCTGTTCGAATTTAGATGCGTTGGGCCTACTGGTATATTAGTATACATTTAGCATCTTACTTCCGCGCTCCCTAACTAAGTGACAGTGATCCGAGTCCGACTATATCTGGACATTAGGTGGTTGAAAAATGTAGCAGTTCATAAAAAAAAATGCAGTATTTACACTTGTCGTATAAAATATTATTTTACATCTAGTTTATTTATTACCCAGTGCCTGTGTCCATATTCATGGCAAGCTGAACATTATCAAAAAATATAAGTCATTTTTGAAAATTGACGTCACAATGGTTTCGCCGATCTATTTGGCCTTTTGGGAAAATGGACCATTTACATGTACAAGGACATGGTTTTCTGAGCTATTATAGTGAAAATTAGAGGCTAAATTTCCAAGTTAGAAGACAATTAAATTGGCAAAATATTACAATAGATTTAACAATGCCCCTCTCAGTATAAAATATGTGCAATGTAGATCAGTTCCGAAGATAATATAAATGTTTTATCAATGATTTCAGTTAGCTTTTTTGAAGAGTTCTATAAAAAATACCCGTAAAATCATATATATCGCATAAATGTATTTTGGTCAAATCCATTTCTCGAGATGGTCAAAAACACTGAAAAGGGGGTAATATATAGCATTTTATGTACTTATTAGCGATTAAATAAAGGTTGGATGTAATATTTACATAATGTAAAAAAAAAAAGAAAACAATAAACTTGGGGGGGGGGTATAAATTACTACTTGAGTGATGATATCGGATGGGGGATATTACTGTAGATCGACAGACCTATAGATATGAATTGTATATAGAAACATAATATAGAAGTAACGAATGACTGAGGATAAAAAAGTGTTTCCCTTTGATTGTCAAGAATCGCATCGTTTGCTTGTTATCCTTTTGTATTAATATCCGAATCTGCGCGCACATGCAAAACTTAAATTCTGACTTGTTTACTAAAACAGATATTAATCTTTGCTAAGAAATGATAAGTATATATCCACTGATATCTATGCATAAGTGAAATATTCTCGAACGGGGCTCGTACATGTAATGCAGTGATCGTAGAAAATGTAGCTGATTTTATTCTTGTTAATTATTTCAACTGGAGGGAAAAATTAAAATAAAATATAAACAGGGTGTCATAGAACATAGAAAATGATTTATTTAATAAATGAGCATTGGATTTATTGTGAAATGGATTCCACGGTGCTGGATTTTGTAGAAAATGTCGTTCTCACCATGCTTACTGGTTATTGAAATAATGACTTCCAGGATATCAATATCAACAATCTAGTACGTATATGTATTCAAAGGCGGATCCAGCACCAGCGTGCCGGGCGACCCCCCCTTTTTGTTTGAGATATTTTTTTTTTGCTTGTGTACATGTCGTTTGTTTAACCTGTTTATACTCTCAATTTATCAACACGTAACATTCAGGCACGTAGTTTCCCTGCTGATTCGAATTGGAAAAATATTTCATGTCAAAAAATCTTAACTTACCCCTTACATGTGTAAATGGTAAAGTTATACTTGAAATTTCATCACCACGATGAACATAATGATACTTTTCCCACGACACCTTTTTTTACTGTTTTAATTTTTGTCATCTTGAAAATATACATTTAATTAATTATCAATAGACTGAATGTGGAACTATTTTGCTTTAATTTCTACGCCTACAATATGTGATACAGGAACTAAAAATATTTCATGTAATCAAAGGTCCCATTGAATAGACACCCCCCCCCCCCCCATAAAACATGTTAAAAAAAATGTACTCAAAAAAAAAACTGTACTGTCTGCTTCTTTTCCCCCGAATAACACAAGAAAATTAATATTGCTTTCTGTTTGTTATGAACAAAAGGCCATCTACTTTCAAGGGTTAACTTACGTTCACAGTATTAAATTGTGGTATTCTTAACATTATATTAGACCAAGATAAAGTACATGTAATTGAATACAGTATTTACATATTGATTACCAATATAAGTAAACAACAGTGAAATCTGTTCACTAACACTTGATTGTCTTTGAACAATTTTCCTGGGGAAATAATTTAAGGCAGGCACATTATCCTTGAAATAATTAGACTAGCTCATAATGTACACCTTTATATGATAAAATGTTCTCAAAGTCTACAAAATGTTTTTTTTTTCCTAATTGGTGTTTAGAGCGTCCTTAAAACAACGCTTCCTTAGGTTGTCATAAAGGTATCGATTACTTAGAGGAAGTAGTAAGGGACCCGCAGGGGGGGGGGGGGGGGATATCCGCATCCTAACACCCACCACTTGTATTAAATTCATATAGTATAATACCAAAAATATGAAGGGTTAAGGGTTAAGAAAACTTTGTAAAGTTTGTAAGATATGTAGGAAGGTAAAGTGACATCCCCCCTTTCAAAATAGGTTTTTCAGGTTTGGGTTAGTTTTCTTTTTTTTAAATAAATTTTCTCCTTTGGGTGTCGATCTTTTTTTTTTTTTTTTTTTTTTGAGTTGGTATGGAACACATCACTCCCTTTTCTGGGAAAAATTACAGGAAAATTCCTCAATTACGCTTTTTTTTCCGCGAGCCGGCATTGCTTTTCCGCGAAAAATCCTTCTTTACCGTGAAGTACTATTATTTTTTTTTTCTTTTCTGCGAAATCCTCTATGAACCAGGTAGTACCTTTTGCTCCTTGTCTACCACAGGGATGAATTAATGTGAAAGTCTCTTAAACATCGTTAAAAGACCAAGTAGATTGTAGGTCATCTACGCATTAACCTATACATCTTCACAATGTCAAGGTTTTGTGAAATCCTTCCCATTTAAAAAAGGTTTGAAGAGAAACTTTGACATTGTGAAGATGTGTAGCTTAATACGTATAAAACATGCATCATTAAAACATGCTGTCTGTTCAATAACCCGTACTGTACATGTACACTCCTTTTTTTCCCTTATGATTCAAAAAATTTCAAAGCCAGCCATACCGATTGATTTAAAGATTTGTCTTTAATTATGAAAAATAATTTAGAAAGCATGATATGCTATCACATGTATACCAATACATTGAAATGTACGTTTATGAAAATGAGATTTAATTAACGTACATAATAAAATATACATGTAAGCTGGATTTGTTTTTAAACATGACGTTAAATTCTTGTTCATGACATCGCATAAAGCAACGTCAAAATATCGCAACGTTATCGTAAACTATGCTACCTTTACGTTTATATAAAACAAAAATAAAACTTTGTTCATGCATATATTGATAATTTCAGGAAAATATATACTCTCTCAAAGAGTTTTGAGGAATATTATTTAATTTTGACACGGGGCCGAATTTTGCACCAATCGCACCTTGTCCTTTAACATTGCTGCATTTGAACACTTTTAAGGAAAAGATGTATTTCCGTTGTTTGAATGTGAGGCATGGATAAGTCTGATTACTTCACATTGTGCTCATGTTAACCAAAACTTGTTTTCTTTGTTATTTCATTCTGAAAGTAACTGTTTGGTCACAAGTTAACAGTTGTATATAGCCCCAAAACTTTTAGAACTTTGATTGCAATTGCGCAGAAAAAGACACATCTCTAAGAGTGATTTTTTCATGAATTGTTTTCAGATGAGTTCAAAGTTGAAAATTATCACTGCATCAAAGTGCAATTTTCTGCACTTCCTGAGATAAATGCAAATTTAAGAAATAAATTTGATTTAGTAGCTAAATAAAGCTACTTCAGGTAGGTAAATAAAGCTACGTAGGTAATTCAACCTAGGAATCTAGTGATTGTACCAGACCTGGTAAAATGTAGCTACCACAAGCTATACCTGAATGCATTTTAAACCTTTTAAATTTCTCCCTTACCCCGAAAATTTATTTCAAAGGGTCATAATGATCTTGGTTTTCAAAGTTGGCATAACCATTTTCACTAAATAATGTGGAGTGTAGAGAAGAGGTATAGATAGATTTCAGTCTCTGAAGTAAAACTGGGGATGAGGGGTCAATTTCATAGCTGTGGTTTGCAGTATATAACTTTCAGGCCCTACAATTGGGATCATTAAGAAAATTTTGTCATTATCTTTTTCTATAAACAAAAATTTGCCTCCAGTGAACCACAGACAGTTTGACTCGAGGCTACAAACGAACACAGCCACAACGTTGCCCTATAACAATAGCCCGATAATGCACTGTGTACCAATTCGCTACACGTGTGCTTATTGCACAAATACTTACTTACCAGTTCCACACAATTTGATGAGAAAAGACCTTCAGCACAATAAACTTCACAGAAATATATCAATTATTGACAATATTTGGTACAAAAGAAGATCTATAATTACAACTTCCGGGTAATTGCCACTGGGAATTGTGGGAACTAAGAAACTCTGTACGACCAACATTATTTTTCCCGGAAAAGTATTAAGTCAATTTCTCATCCTGTTGAAGAAAAGAATAGAATGAGGAAATATACGATACAAAATATTACTGAACAGAGAAGAAATCGTTTAAAGATATTTTAGTAAATTAAAGAAAATACCTATAACTGGGGTCAAACGGCAACGTGCTGACCCAGGACCCCTGAAATCATGGAAATTGTGAGGATGTCCTATGTTTTGCTTTATGGCATTTGGCCTGGGGTGTATATCACCTAAAACGAATGTCAAAAAAGATAACGTAGTCAGACGGTGTAAATGGCTGATGTGTAAGATGTTGTATGCTAACATGAACTCAACAATATGACCTTGACCTTTGAATTCTTTAGATTGGGATAGACAGAAGACATATTTTAGTGCACTATTACCTCAACATTTATTTTAAGATGAGCATTTTCGTGTTTCTGACAGAGAATGGGATAATATGTTGTATTCTACCATCCCTTGCTCAATATGACCCTGTCCTCTAAATTCTTTAGCTGGGGGGTAAATAGACCGTAGACCTATTTTAGTGCACTATTAACACAGCATTTCTATTTAGATACTCGTTTTTGTGTTTCGGAGAGAGATTGGGGAAACCGTTATATTTGATTTGTCCATTTATTTTTCTAACTTCTTCCCTCTATAAAAGCTTGACCAGGACAATAATTGAATATTGAAATTAAGTTTAGGCTTAGACCTAGACTAAAACTTTTGAGCCATTTTAATTTGAATGAATTTAAACTTCACTTTGTTGCTGCAGCCTAACTTAAAAATTTTTCATGACCTTGACCAAAGGTAACATCTTAAAGGTCAAAATCACTTTGTTTTAACCGTTGAATGAAAAGAATTTAATCTTGAAAAATTACCAGATATGTTGAAAAGTCGATTATATTTACAGCTAATTTTTTACTCATATTTTCAGATTTCTCAACAGCACCTATATTTAAGGATCTATATAGAGAAATCTTACAAGACGAGATCTTCAGCAAAGAAGTCAGAAAAAGATCAGTGACTAGCTATAGCTTTCAGTGTAAAAAAAAATGAGTTGCTGTTTTTATGTAACTAGTGATTCCAGAATAAAAGACATTAGCATTTAAATACAGTATTCTAAAGTTTGCTTTTTGTATAATCATGCGTAATTAATCGAATCTAGCTGCGTTGACTAAGTAAATACACATGCAATATCGAAATAAATCAATGTGAATGTTCATGCAAAATAAATTTGATATTTAAAACTTGTTTTCGCATGGTTTTAATTTGAAACTTGTGTTCCTTTTTGCATGAAAATCATGCAAAATTTCTTTTTACATGACATTCATGCAAATTGCGTGAAAACCGCAAGGTACACGTACATCGTGCATGGATGTTTTATCTTCCTCATGCAAAAAAATTGCATTATATTCATATGATTTTCATATGCAGTCCTATGGTTCAGTTATGGCACTTTGAACAAAAAGAGTAAATCGTTCCAATTCTTAATTATCGTCCACGGAATTAAGATGGCAACGCTTTTATCCACATTTTTAAATAAAAGAAATTGAAATTCGAAAATCCCGGACCACAGGCGCTTGACGTTTTTAACCTTTCTTTCCATAAATAAAAAAAATCCCCCATACTATAATAATAACAAGGTTCGTCACGGTCTTATTCCAGACCATTAAGTGAGAATAAACTTCAAATGGATATCACTCAATTCTGAAATACAATTATTGATAATCAAACAATTTTTAATTATGTGTTTGTATTTAAATATTATACAAACATGCAACACGTATGCAAAATAAAAAAAAAGATATTCTGAATCAAAACTGTCCAAGTCTTCTCTCAGTTTATGGTCTTGGGGTCAGGTCTTGTGATGCATAAAGAAATTCCCACAATAGGGAAATCTGGTTCTGGATATGAGGACCAATTAAATATGAGTAACAAAATAGTTTGCAAAAAATAATGCAATATTTTTTCTTAGTCATAAGCCATTTTGTAAAACAGACCCCAGGATCACGAGACATAGACTGAAGTCAGGTGCGGATCCAGGAATTTTTCGGGGGGGGGGGGGGGGGGGAGGAGGAGGGGGGTGTTCCATCGCAGACAGAAAAAAAGAACACCTAAACTCTTTTCCCAAAACGTGAAAAACCTATTTCGTGGTGGTGTCGGGGAGGGGGGGGGGGGGCACTCTCCTTCATTTCTTAAACTTTATATGAATGGTTCTTCCATCCAACTTAACAGGGGTCCATGTTTTCTCTGGGGTCCAGGACATTTTTTAGTTACTTTACTAAGTTCATTTACTCCACACATTCCAGGGGGTCCACCCCCTCTAGATCCGCACATGGAAGTCAACCAACCTTCAGATGCTTATGAATGAAATATATGGAGATAACGAACAGTATTCAAGCTCAAAAGTCCATTATACAATACAAAATAGGAGTAGAGCAAACACGGACCTCCAAACATCAGAGGTGGGATCAGGTGCCATGGAGGAGTGAGCATCCCCTGCCGACCGGTCACAGCCGCCGTGTGCTCCTTGTCATGATCGGGAAATAACGGAAAAATCCGTCGACAATTCAGTGTGTAAATAATGGCCTAACAATTAGTATGAAAAACGTCAGTCAGCATTTGACTCAATGATAAATTGTATTTGCTGACAAGGTCATTGTATCGACCAAAGAACTTACGAAATGATGACTTTAAACGAGACAGCTGATATTCTTGTTTCATCAACTTATTTGTCAATAATTTACCTCGTTTTAGAAATTGTACATACGTAGAGCATGCTCTTGCGTATCGAATCAACTGAGAGATATATACCCCGTATGCAGGTGATGAAGGTATATTGCTGCATAAGTAAGGGAAGTTGACGATTGAAAAGTTAAAGTCATCACGTTTATCATAAAGCTTGGTTGTTAGATTACCATTAACGTCTTTTTCTAGTAAAATATCCAAATATGAAACAGATGTGTCAGACTCTGTGGTATCTTTTATCTCAAGTTCACCAGGATATATCGTATCGACATAAGAATGAAAATAGCCATTGTTAATTGACAATACGTCGTCGATATATCTAAATGTCGAGTTGAACGCCACAGTAAGTGTTTTCTTCTTTTCACGTACAAGATTTTGGACAAATTCTGCTTCATATGAATACAAAAAAAGGTCGGATAATAACGGGGCGCAATTGGTACCCATAGAAATTCCAATAGATTGTTGGAAGACCTGGTCTCCAAAAACCACATAGATATTGTGAATCAGAAACTCAAGCATCTTTTTAATGTCAACTTCAGAGTACTTGTGTGTACAATCAGAATGTTTTTTAACAAAATAATTTTGCAAATGACCAATGACAAGGTAAGTATATTTACGAGTTCCATTTTTATTGAAAAACTGCAATGGAGACTTTTTGGTGATCTAGGCAGTCTTTTACAATTTACAATTTGTATTTTGGAATTTAATTGTTTGAATTCATCATATAATCAAAAGATACAGATTTAATTCAAGTCTACTATTGTTTCATGATCCGGGGTACTAGTACTGACTCTTATCGAGTACATGTTAATACAATAATTGCAAAATATAACAAAGTCATTTGATATATACATGTATATTTATATACATTTCCATCATATGGTACGTGATATTGTCGATCTGTAGTATATAATGCTGTCAAAAAATGTAAGAAAAATCCATTTATTTATCTTTTCCTGCACTATAAACAAGTCAACAATTCAAAGGAATGCTTTTAAAATTATTCAGAAATATAGACTGCATATTTAGGAATCATTGCAATCAAAAATCTCTGCATTAGTCAATGTAGTTTGCCACCAGAACGTCACCAGAGAACGTCACAATCCACAGTCTATCGTGATCGTCTGCTACCGCACTCCAAACAGAAATGATGCCGTCATTTACCATCTCCTTAATATTGTACGCCTGTAAAGTTTCTCCGTCTACATTAGTAATTTTAACGAGACTTTGTAACCCACAGCTTAGAATTATGTTATTATAATTGTCACAAGATATGCTCCAGATGTCGTCTTCTCTGGGTAATGGTGATTCTTTCAGAATCCTGCTACCTTCCTTGTCCATTATTTTCAATATTCCTCTATCCACAATACAGAGTGATCCGTCACTGAAGGACGAGATTAGGTGTGGTTTTTGAAGAAGCATATCGCCTTCAATGTTAACATTCAAACAATGTAAAACGATCCCCTTAGACGATAACTTCAAAAGTTCTCGCCATCCTGGGATGGGACCACCGCAGACTTTTAAGATAACAAAAATGTTACCACAACTCACATGCGCTCGCTCAATGTCACAGTCGGTAAATTTGGCCAGTATTGTCATTTCATTGCTCTCTTCGACTTGAACGAGCTCTGAAAGTCCCGCGAAAATGGGTTTAGAATTCAAAACCCCACCAAACACGGCGGTGACAAAGGGTAGTTTGACCACCCTGTGGGTGTTGCCTTGGTGGTCTATCAGTTCTAAAGATGGCGCTCGGGTGCAGATCCATGCTTTACTGTCACCAACAGGGAATACCGCAAAAACGGCTTTTCGTTTCTGTTGTCGAAATCCACCAACTCTTTGAAGACATTGTTTATGAACCTTGTTCTCCATCGTTATACTAAATCATATAACTAGGGGAAAATGGACTACCGGTATGTTTACCAATGACAGTGGTTGTTCCATAAATCTTCTAGGATGCTTTTGGTATCATAAGCAAAGAACACAAAATATAGAATATCGAGTGACATAAGAGGAATCCTGGCACTGTGTATATCCAGCATACTTCAAATTTCGATAGTGTAAATGGCAGTTGCTCAAAAGCCTTCGATTTTTTTCTCGCCAGTTTCCAATACCAATTAACGGAAGCTTTGTGCAGACCGTTTTCACAAACCAATACACATATGTTCCCTCATCCATCAAAATTGATTTTTTCTTCACACAAGAAAAGCAACAGACAATATTTAATACGCCTTTTAAATTTGGTAAATTGTGAAATTAAAATCCCTATTGGTGTACACAATGAGAAGTAAACAGTCTTGTTGGAGTAAAAAAAAACAGGATACAATAAGAAGTGTTATGAAATGACGCTTGTAAAGCACATTATAATTGTTCATGGGTACCTCAAGAGAAACATTTGTCCTAAATTTATTACAGAGATCTATTCAGATAAATACAATTATATAATACTTGATATTTTAAAAATGCCGTTCTTTTTCAATAAATTTTAATTTCAACATTGGTAAATAGAATTATGTATCATGATTCAATCCACGTTTGCACAAGATTATTATTAATTGGTCTAAAATTGTAGGAGGACCAGCATTTTTGAATGACTGTTCGTTGACATTCAAATCAATATTGGTGTAATTTACACTTTTTTTTCTATACAAGATTCTTTCAAATTAAACACCGATATTTCCAAAAAAAAAAATCATTCTCATACCTCGTCTCATATTGTTTTTTAAGTCAAAAGTCGCACAATTCAGCATATTCTTAATATCTTTAAATCCATATTAAACAGGTCTTCAAAGGCTGACCTCAAAATATTTTTTTTAATTTAGTACACGTATTGCATTTTACTTTTTTTCAACAAAACAGTCTATACAACCTCCGTTCACTGTGTTTAAATTTACTTGTGGTTCCATCTGTTGAATTCGAAGTCGCAGCTAGGTAGTTTTGAGGATCGAAAAAAGCCAGCAAATGAAATATTGTGTAGGTTAACAATTTGAACAAATGAGAAATAAAATAATTGCTCATCTTTCAAAATCTTAATTTTATTCCAACATTTTTTTAAACTCTTGATTTTTTCGTCAATAATGAGCGTTTACCTTAGTAAATGAGGTCTTTGAGAATTTTGAGTCAATGCATGTTTTAGATTTAGTTCTGGGCCCAAAACCATAAACTGAGAACAGACTTAAGTCAAAAATTTGATTTTTAATATCTTAAGTTCCGTTTAACGTATTAGCTTCAAAATTTGCAATTGTGCATAGAACTTCAATTCAAAGATATGAAGAAAATTTTAACTTATAATCATAATTATTTTTAAAGTTATATCAATTTGAAATTTTGACTTAAGTCTGTTCTCAGTTTATGGTTTTGGGGCCTGGTGGGCCCATATGATCACTATATAAATCTGCATGTGACATATTCCAAACCAGAGGCACCATGAGCACTAAGCGCACAAAATGATACCCCCGCTCCCATATGAGTATAATGGCAGAGTCCATTTTTTGCTATGGGAAAGCCGAAATATCTGTCAATGACACTATGTAATAAAGATTCTGTCTCATTAAAGAGGGTGTTGCAGTTCTTTTGTTATTTTCCCTTAAGGTGTAGAAGATAATAAGAATAATTTCAAGTAACAGAAAACGATGTTCATTTTTTTTTCAGATACTATACAAATATAGCCCTTTTATGAGGTCGATCCATAGATATATCGACTTCACAGAAAAGCATATCGACTATTTTCTTTGGGAAAAGAAAGAGACAAACAAATTTAATTCATAATGTAGGAATTTGTAAGTTTTAAAGACTTTTCACAATTATAAACACATCTTTGGATTTTCCCAAAGTTATTTTTAGTAACTCAAGTCAATATCGTAAAATATAATTTTGCACGTGATAGCAAGCAAACCAATAAGATTTGTTGAGTTACACAGTAAAAAAAAATATAACGGTATTTATACATCACAATATAGAACAATACTTGAAAACTGCATATCGACTTCTAATTTGTCTGCATTTAATGAAGGGTAAATTAGTCTTTCTGAGATGTGTAGATAAAATCATTTTGAGATGGAATTTTTATCAATTTAATTACTGCTTTACTCGGGTTTTTGATTTTTGCAAATGAAAGTCAAGAAAACTTTTGTTACAACGAAAAAATAACATCCATTACATTTACTATGAAAACATACATAAAGTAACAAACCGTATCACTTGTAAACGATATGAATTGATTTAAAATGCACTTCTTATTATCACACAAGACAATACATGCATGAGTTTTTATCCACCAGAGATCGTTACTCTTGTAACATGAATATTTTTGTATAATGTATATGTTAGCACAAAAACAACATGATCTAAGCGAAATCGTTCAACTTCGCCAAAAGTGTAGTCCGCAAATCTTCTTTCATGTTGTTGAGGCTTGCGACGTTTTGGTTCAGAGTGCGGCACGTGTAAGGCACCATTTGACTGATGTCCATGTCTGTGATGGTCTGGCTCCTTTTATAGACCACCTCCGACATCTCAGTGTCCCCCAGCAAAGACTGAAGGTGACAAAGCGTGTCACCAATGTCGTCTGCTATTCCGGATATGACGCCAATCCTTGAATTGTTGTGGTATTGAATGATGTGGAATTTTAGGGCAATTCCTGTCAGCTGTTGATAGGAGTTCAGAAGAGCATCCGACTGTGGTATCAAATTAAACAAGTATTTGGCGATTATAAGAAAATACAATTTTTAAATAATTTGAATGTGCTATCAACTACCGGTATAAATTTCCTATCAACTATAACAAATTTCAAATTTCAATCCAGTATGACCATGATGACACGATTCTTATCTCTGGTAGACGCTGAATGGTAAAGAAGCGTGGATCTGCAAGTATATACTTGCTAAGTATACCATTATAAGTTCATGTATGTATGAGGCAATTCTACAATTTTACACAAATATAAGTACTTACTACATTCTCATAAGTGACCGCTACATGATGGTGCTCTTGGGAGCAAGATTCATCTCCTCCAAATATGGACGATGCCTATATAAAGAAGTGATTTATAAATACAGTTATAAAAATATAATCTCGGACAAGAGAATATTGTTCCTAGAAAGGAAAATATGTCAACTGTTTCGGACTTACAAATGCATTGAGTCGATTTTCCGCCTGTGATATGATGACGTTGATCTTTGTGACGAGATCTAGAAGCCCACAGAGTTTTAGCTGATATCTGATTGGCTGAGACCGACACGGACAGCACGCGTTTATAGAGTAGGTCAGCTGATTTCTGGAGATTTGTTCAGAACGGTACTCCAATCCCAAATTGGTTGTGCATATCACTGCGCGGCAGACTTGTGTGGTAAACAGAAGATGACAGAGTACTACCAGAAAACAGGCTTAGAAGAGAAGGAAAGAAAAAAAAATTAAAATCAAAACATTGAAGCTGATGAATTTCTAACGAGTGACATCAATATATTTTTAAAAAGGGAAATAATTTAGAAAAGTAATTTTTTCTTCAAAATAAATATATTTTTTTAAAATTCTATATTCACCTATAAGTTTCATTTTCAATGTCTAGCTGATTAAGTTCATGGATTCAGTAGCTTGACTATGTTTTAAGGAAGAGATCGGCGCTTTAAAATAGTTCTCCTAAAACTTGGCATTTTTATAGAGATGCTTGAGACGTGTTTCCCTTTATTTTCAAAATTCTCATAATTAAGCAAGGTACTTTCGTCGAAACTAAAATTTACCAAAAAAATATTGGGTATAATCTCGATTTGTAATCGGATGTATAATTTGTCCTAGCACCTGAATGGATCATTTACTGTGGTTATTTTTTATAATCATTGGAATCGGTTATGAGTATTCATTAAGGATATTGATTTAAAAGTTCATTGATTGGAAGACAATGATGACATATCAAAGACAGGTATTCCATTCAAGGTTTACGTAAAAAAAAAAACTATGATGATATGCTGTGATTATTTTTACAGTGTTTACCAGAAGTTATGCTCTTTGTTTCACAGTTTGACCCTTTATAATATCAGATCTAACCACAAGTTTACACGCGACAGTTTTAAGGTACTTTGAAATCTGATATCAACCTCTGACTTTAGAATTATTTACTAAAGAAATGTTGGGAAAGAATGCGGAAATATTACAGGTATCAATTAATTAATTCAGGAAAAAAAATATTTCAAATTAATTGTGAATATATTTGTTTTATAGATTGCAAGGAAAAAGGTCAATGTAAAAAAAAATGTCGAGATTATTGTCGAGATTTAAAGTTAAACCGTCATAAATTGCACGATACAAGAAATATCAATAATGATGATGAGATTTTCCTGAAAATACTGTGCATAAAATGTGTTCCAACTATTTGCAGTTCTCTGTATTTACATATTTCTAATTATTGTTTAGTTATTGAATCGTTATGATTTTCTAAATTCTTATATTTAACTTAAATTCTTCATACAGTGTACCTTCGTATGCATCATATTAGATGATTAAAGTGGGTTTGTAATCCGACTTGAACTTACAGGACAGCAAATGGAGGCAAAAGGATTCTAGTGTCCGTATCGGGTTACAAAAAAGTCTTAAGTTTTCAAAATTCATATTTCTTTTCAGGGACAATTTGTAATATCTGTGAAAGCATTTTTTTCGTTAAAGGAGAATGACCTCTATTTGACAAAAGATAACAAAAATCTGACTCAGGAACATAACTCAAAGAAAATAATTTAACATGTATTCATATGATTAGTAAGTTGTTCTCAGATATATCTTCAAACATTTTCCCTGTATGTGTTATATACGTATATAAATCTATATGAATCCCTTTCACAAAAAGCATTTTTTTCTTGGTGTGTGGGGGGGGGGGGGTGAAGGGGAGGAACTGTTATTTTATTAAAGGGGATCAGGGAGACTTAGACAGACGAAGGTCAATTTAGGAGGGAAAACTGAATTGTAGCGTTTACATACCCGGTATATTGATAGAAAATATCTTTTACGGTTTTAAAGAGAAAGATATGTTAATGTTGACTAACTTAAATTTCAGATAATTCAACAATAGATGTAGGACGCCATCTATGTTTTTCAAAAGAAAAAAAAGTACGATAATTATCCTAAGATGGGCAGAACTGCCGAAGAACATCCAAAAGAAATGCTATATGATGATGACTATCATACTCTAAACCTACGATACCTTTACGATAGTATCCAGCTGTGCACAACGAGTCGGACGTAAAGTCAATGAGAATTTCCCTGATGTCGAGAGCCCAAATGATCTAAAAATCTTAAGGAACTCGTGATACAGTAATACAGTCGTCAGATGTCATAAAAGGCATAGAATGACAGACCTTTCCATTATTGATAGTTAAAGTTTATCATTGAGGGAGTAATAGCAAGATTCCAATTCTCCGTGGCCAAGGCTGTATTTCTCGAGGCGAAACCGAGGGAAATAAACCTGGTTGAGGGGAACTGGATTCTTCCTAACTCCCTCGATGATATACTTTTTAATTGTTTCATTATATGAATAAAAATTTCGAGGTAGAGATTAGCTCACTAGACTAACGCACGGTAAAACGGGAATTAGTCTATTCACAGCGATACCGATACAAATTTCAAAGCAGGGATTAGCTCACTTAATTGTGATTAACACACGGATAAACTGGGATTAGTCCATTCATAGCAATACCGGTACAAATTTCGAGGCAGGAATTATATCTCACTTGACTAAGGCAGGCCAAAGTCCAATCACATCGATTTCTAGGGAATTATTCACATCTAACAATCTAATTTTATATATGAAAAAAATCAGTAGAGGTATAATAGCACTATTTATGTAAAACTTTTGGTCAGTATTTTTGCATATTGTAAGCAAAACATATGGTAAAGGTTCGTAAATTATACTTTCTCAAGAAAATCCTATGAGAATACCGATATATTCATTATATACGCCAACATGTCGGTAAACATTAGGGAAAGTCTGTATTTATAAAACTTGATACACGACCACGCTATATGATTATACCTCATTATTATTTTTCTATACAACGCGTTATCTGATTGGTTCTAGATTATCACGTGACAGGGCCGTAAAACTTCATATTTCCCTGTCGTCGTCATGCTTTTCATCATATTCAAGCGAAGCCATCGGGGAATATGATTTTTCATGGCTGAATAAATCTTCATATTTCCCTCACGATCATGCAATAAATAACCTATATTATTATATCTCGGTAAACATTAGGGAAAGACTTCGGATTCATCTGTCTTTGTGAAACTTGATACACGACCACGCTATATGGTGAAACCCTGTTTTTATCCTATTCATACCCATACCTCTCTATACTTTGTAAACAGTGTTGTACTTATGTTTTCCTTATGTCTAGAACTGTCGAACAGGTGCTTGTTTCCGTAATAAAATTTTACTCCAAAAACGATAGTATAATAATATTATACTTCAGAGTAAACTTTTATCAGGGACCTATATACTGCATATAGGTCCCTGCTTTTATTACAGAAACATCTCCCAAGTAAAATGAGGTCTTTCAGAATACTAAGTAAACATAATATTGGCTAAGATGAGAAAATAAAACACAAAAGTATGGTAAATATTACTTTAAAACTCCTTATATTTTATAAGTACTGATCCATGTTTATGTAGGGGCATTTTTTTTTCTCTTTTTCACAAAAGGGGGATTGGTACAATTCTCATTTCTGCTTGAACTTTCAGTAAGGTGTGTCATTCTCGGCTATACATAATTAGCGTCTTGCTAATAGTGACTTAGATTCTCATTGGTTGCCTCATTAGCTCATCAATACTGAAATTTACACAGCTTTTCATTCACGGATGAAATACACGTATGGGATAAAAATGGGTCAGACGTCAACGAGTGACGCAAGGAAACAATGACATCGTTTCTTACAATAAAGAGGTGTGGCTTATGTCACCTCATCGTTTTTTTTTTAACAACAATCTAAAGTTGCTAATGTTATTAATTTCTTAACCAATGAGAATCTAGGTCACCATTTGAGAGACGCTTATTATGTATCGCCGTAAATGTCATGCCTTAATGAAAGTTCAAGCAGCTAGAATAGAGAATTGTACTAATTCATCCGGAACACATCGGGCCTTTCATTGTTTTTTCTGTGAAAGGCACTAAGTGTTCCGGATGGGATTAATTATGCAAAATCAACGTGAGTGAAGTATGTTCACGGACTAGTACAAAGCTTACTTTTTAAATTCCATGTATTTTATTTTATTAGGAAATCAAGATAAAATGCATTTGCAATCAGAAAATATTTTATTTTTTCTAATTATGTCTAAGAAAAAAATACAATACTACAATATAATACAATACAATAAATACTTTATATAAGAACTCTTTCACTGTAATAAAAACAAAAGCACAAGAAATATCAATTAATAAATAGAGAGCATTAAATTTATAAAAATAAATCATTCAATAAAATATGGTAATAAATAAAATAAATAAGTACACAAGTAAATACATAGTTCACTGGCCTAACTAGCTGCAGTGTTAAACTCCGATATATTTTAAAGTCATGTAATTTTACATGTCAAGCTAGGAAGCTATGCCTTTGGGAAGACTATACATACTAGGCGCTGTTTTCAAAAAAGTACAAACATGGGATCTACTTAAGGCGACTATAAAATGTTTCCAGAATGTTTGTTTTCACTTGTTTAAGAAGATGGACGCTATCTTTCAAGGTTTGACAGGTGAATGGCACAATCTGACTAATATCCATTGGTTCTACGGTTACGCTTTGTCCAGTGATGACGGAACTGACGTCACTAGCGAACAGAAGCCTCTTCATGTAGCACAACACTCTGCCGAGTTCTGACGTAGGAAGTTCCTGTATTCTAGAGTTGTTGTGTCTTTGAACGATGGCTACATTTAATGAGACTAGTGATACTGTCTTATAAGATTGAAGCAAAACAGCGGACTGAAAAATAAACGGAGAAATGTTGGTACAAAGTAACAGAACTGATGGTGACATAATATAGCAATCGCAACTTCTCGGATGATGCGATTGATAATATAGTGTACTTAATGAAGACGGAATTGAAAATGATTAAAAATCACTCGCTCTTTGAGGGAAAGATCGACTTAATAGCAAGAATCAGACTGCCAACAACGATAAAGATAAAATCAAATATGGATAACATTGTAATGGTTTGTGTGGTTTACCAGATCTGGGTTATGTGGTGCACTAGCGTGGTGGTGGTGTCGGATGTCAGTACAGGGTGCTGGCTGTGGCGATGCGATGGATAGTTGCTGAAATATAAAAAGACCTCACATTATCAACTTTAAAAGATCCAGTGTTTCCCATGCATTATTGAACACACTCAAAAGTAAAAAAGAAAGTTCATTAAAATATTACTTAATAAGTTTAAGTTAAGGAGAAAAACATCCTTGAGTGCGGCAATTTTCAGACACCATAAATTTGCATTTAAATTACTTACAAACGACCTATATTTGTTTTGTAATGTAGACGCCACGTGATTGATTTTTGAGATCAGGTGGTGAATGTGGCACTGCGGAAGAGTTGTTGTCATGGCAACACATGGGCAAGTGGTATCAATTTTATAATTTTCGTTCCGGTTCCACAGGACCGCAGCAGAAAAACGAGATCCAGATTTCGAAGAACATTTCATTGAAAGAACACCACTCAAAACCAGAAATACAAGCAGCGCGGACAATGCTAAAAATTATAAGTAAAATTTTGATAATTTTTATCACGTACTTTCAGACCAATAAATAATAGAATTTGATTTTTTTTTTAAATTATATAAGAAATAAACCATTCCTGTTTTACCTTGAAGTTTGAACATATTCTGTCTAAAGTTGAATTACTTTTGACTGAATTCAGATGTAAGAGCGCGCTTTATATATAATAACTAAGTAAAATTCCCAGAAAGTTGGGAATGAATTTCCTTGGACAGTGTCAGCCAAACTTATTCCGTTCTCAAGAAAACAATTGATGAAATATAAAATAATATAAATATCCAACTTTGATTACAAAATAAAATACTATGAATATCGACCATTGATTACGAAGTATTAAATGCATTGATTAAAAAATATTTCATTTAATCTATAAATTGTCTCTTGTTTTAAAAACTTTCAGATTCCAAAGAAAAAACTGTTATTTCCGTAATGATACCTGGCCTATTCTTGCAATAACAATATACATACCAATCTTATGTTTCCGGTATAAATATAGAAGTTTTAAAATACGCCTATGTAATCATCACATATGGTAGATATGTCAGTTTGATAAATAAAACAATGAGATTTAATGTCTTAAGGTTTAAATTGAAATCTTTTCCGTAGGATCAGCAAATTATTTTCCTATATTGGTAGTTTTATTTTCATGTTTTAAATCATCTCTGTCTATCTGTCTTTCTCTCTCTCTCTCTAGCTTTGTGGTGTATGTGTGTCTAATTCCCAACCTCTAGAGGAGCAATCAAACGTATAATATTTGAGTCTTTAAAATATCTACTCTCCCCTAATAAAGTTTGCATATCTTCACAGGCTATAGTAGGAAGCAATTTCAGAAGGGGGGTGTTTCTGTTTTTTTTTTTGTTTTTTTTTTTTTTGTTTCAAGGGGTGGGGTGAGGGCACCACTTAACAATTCTTGACAAGCAAAAAAAAAAAATGAATAATTATATAAATGATTTTAAAAAAAATAATAAAAAACAAAGAAATAAAATTCAACAAACGTTGTTGAGGGGACGCATCCATAAATGAGTTTAGTTTTCTAATGTATAGTTTATACTGGCAACATTATTGAAGAGGGGGGGGGGGGGGCAACTGTAGAGCTTCAATTCTATAGTATCGTATATACTGGCAAAATTATTGGGTGATCCCCCCCCCCCCAACACACACACATAAAGAAACCGGCTTCTCATTCTCACCGCTTGATATAGTAAAAGCAAGAAATCTTCAGATCAACATACGACATCGTAGTAGTTATAATTTATAGTTAGACAACCATTCACTTCCGCTGAGGACTAAAACAATAAAGATTACTTCATAAACTTCATACAAAAGGTCAGTTATTCAATTCCAGGAATATTAAATAACTTAAAGGAAATTTTAAGAACAAAATTTTGATTTGTTTGAAATAACCATAAGGTCACGGTTCATGTATAGTTGGTGCTTAAACATTTCTATGCGACCTATGTTATACAAAGTTATTTCTGAATTGTGACCGAAAATGGAAATTTTACAAATTAACCTTTTACTTTGAATGACTCGTAAAACTTTATCTTTCAGACATTGTAACATCGCTTTGTCATTCTAAAGTTAAAAACAAAGTATCCACTTTTATTTTAAATTTAAAGGTTTATTAATTTTCAGAACTTTTCGGCCAGATTCTCTTTCGTGAGCTCTGTATGGCCCATTGACTTCTTCCGACATGGCTCAGCCACCAGATATTCCTAAACGGGGATTTTTTTCTCAGTGCGCAAAAGTATTAATCATTAATTATACTCATGACCGTAGAAATGAATAGGAACCGGAAAGGGGCGTGCCCCCGCCCCTCACTAATTTTGTCGATATATACTAGTAGTATATAAAAAAAGAGTACTTTATGGATTCTCCTCAATAATTACTTCTGATCACTATTTTTTTAATTTAAATTTTGCTTGTCAAGGTCTTTTGCTTGGTAGTGCCCATCCGAACTAAAAAAAAATTTGGTTGTCGGTTGTCCCCTTCCCCTCAACTGAAATTTCTTTTTACGGGCCCAATAATTTATTTTGTTTTTAATTAAAAATATATTACACTCTTTTTGCCTTTTTTTAATTGGTCTTTTCAAACTTTTCATTAACATCGATATACAATGTATATACTTAATTAAAAAACCTGTTTATTATGCCATAATCTCATTGCCAATTAAAATGTACATGCATTTTCCTTTCTTTTCTTTTTTTTTTTTATCAAACCATACTTTTTTTGTCCAATAAGTATAGTTCTGCTTCATTAAGTGTCTTTTTTACCATAAAAAGATTTTATTATCGTCTCTAATTTCAAAAGCATTTTATTTTTTATGAAGGCAATCGTGACACCTTATTCATCCTTATTCTTTAAACAAAAAGGCAGGTGTGTCATTTCCGTAAATGTACAATGTATCTAATACCTATTTACCGACGCAAAGATAAAGTACACAAGACGTGTTCTTTAACCTTGATTTAAGGTAACTAATTGGCTGGTACGAACAGATGGAAAAGATATGAGATAATTAAAACTTTAAAACACACAGTGTCTTCCGAAAGAATTTGATGAAACCGTAACGGTTTCATAATTACATTATATAGAACTATAACGCATTTAAAAAGTATAAAATTACCTCTGCAGACTAAATTGGGTGATTAAGAAACACACAATTTTGTTTTTAAATGCTTAAATATATATCACAAAAAAATAAATGAATAAATAAATCAACCATTCATTTGCATGTGTATTACGGACCCGACCCTTTGCTTCTTTTTTCCCCATTTCTTCCACTTCCAATTTCTTCCACTTCCAATTTACCCCCCCCCCCCAAAAAAAAAAAGTTAGAAGTGGTTATATTTTCTGTCGTCCTGTTAGTCTGTTTTCAAGATATCTGTTAAGTTTTGAAAGAAGACTGTTGATATATCTCATTCTCTGTCACAGCGAATAACGATTTTTCTAACCCAATTTTACCTCCAATATATAAAAAAATTAACTTAAAGTTGCTGTTAAAATTGGAAGTATGGACAAAGCTTCAAACGTTGTTTAAAATAAAAATTTTATTGAACAATTCATTGGGACTTAAAGTTATAAACATCTCTTACTTTTCTACTAACAAATATGTAATAGATTAAAAACAAAAATTTACACAAGTGCCTGTTTTCTGACGTATTGAAAAAAGATTAAAGTGCATTAAAGCAACAAATAAATGCCACTTTGAAAGCTCCGTGCAGATTTTTTGAAAATTCATGGTATGTTTTTACAATTATAACATTATTAGTTTTATTGTATTTTTCTGGGAAAAAATCTTTCATATATATATATATATATATATATATATATATATATATATATATATATATATATATATATATATATATATATATATATATATATATATATATATATATATATATATATATATATATATATATATATATATTTCAAGGATGCAAATTATGAAGATTAGTGAATAAAATCTTAAAGGTGCTTTAGATTATATATTTCTTTTCTTTACTCAATTGTTTGAATTCGTTTGAAACGCGCTTAACATAACAGTAGAGATAACGTAACAATTAAAATGACGTCATAATAACTTTGCGTGATCTAACAACAAAGTCAGAACAAGATGTGTTTGTGGAACACTGATGCCCCCGTATGGCAGCTTATGGCGAAGGTTAAAGTTTCTCAAATGCAAGTCAAAATCCAGGTCAAAAGATAAAAAATGTTTAGTTTGAAAGCTCTAGCTACAACATTTCAAAAGTTATGGCGAAGGTTAAAGTTTTTTAAAAGTAAGTAAAACATCAAGGTCAAGGTCAAAGTTGTTGGTATCCAAAGGAAGGTCGTGTCATAAGGATTACATATGTAAAGTATGAAAGCCCTAGCACCAACCATTCAAAAGTTATGGCCAAGGTTAAAGTTTTTCGGAAGTAGGTCAAACTCCTATGTCAAGGTCAAAGGGTCAAAGTGGTTGGTATCCAAAGGAAGGTCTTGTCACAAGGATTACATATGTGAAGTATGAAAGCCCTAGCTCTAACCGTTCAAAAGTTATGGCCAAGGTTAATTTTTTCAAAAGTAGGTCAAACTCCTAGGTCAAGGTCAAAGGGTCAAAGAGGTTGATATCCAGAGGAAGGTCTTGTCACAAGGAATACACCTGTGAAGTTTGAAACCCCAAGCACCAATTGTTCAATAGTTATGGCCAAGGTTAAAGTTTTTCAAAAGTAGGTCAAACTCCAAGGTCAATGTCAAAAGGTCAAAGTTGTTAGTATCCAAACAAAGGCCTTGTCACAAAGAATACACTTGTGAAGTTTGAAAGCCCAAGCACCAACTGTTCAGAAGTTATGGCCAAGGTTAAAGTCTCAGAAAATTTTGCAAAAGTGGGTCAAACTCCAAGGTCAAGGTCAAAAGGTCAAATATGATGGTACCCAAAGAAAGGTCTTGTCACAAGAAATACACATGTGAAATATGAAAGTCATAGCTCCAACCAATCAAAAGTTATGGGCAAAGTTAAAGTTGACAACAGACAGACAGACAAACAGATAAACAGACAAACAGACAGACAGGACAAAAACAATATACCCCGGGATCTTTCGATCCGGGGGCATAATAAACAGAATGGGTTGCTCCAATAGTAACCAAAAAAGAACAAAAGAGGCTGCAAAAGATATTGAAGAAGCATGGAATCAAAGCCAAAGTGACTGGAGGAGGTATTGCCTTCAATATTCCAACAACTGGCGGAGAAGAACCAACGTGGCCTATAGTATCGTGTTTGAACAAGAAACTTCAGAGAAATGAGGATGAGGATGAAGTTGCTTTAAAACGTAAGAATCTGGTACCATAAAGGATATAAGATTTTATAGACTTTTAATACCAATACTTATTAAGTGTGTATCGAAAATGAATAAATGTGGGGGGTTTATCACGTGCATGATATTTTAAAGAGGGGGGGGGGTGAAAACAGTACTTATTTTGGAGTTATCGTATATGTGATCTCCTTTTCAGGTAAAAGGGAACTTGCAATTACAGAAAAACAAGAGAGAGGTAGAGAACTAAGGGAGGATATAGAGAGGAAGAGGAAGAAAAAGATGAATTTAAGAGGCAATCGCTACATCGCCAA